GTCATACATGATTTCTATGTAACTTTAACCATTAAGGCTGCACACGCGACGGAAGCTTAAAAAATGGAGTAACTTCTCCCGTTTTCCCAACATTCCCTTCACTACTCTGCTGCTATTGATTGTAGCGTGATGAAAAGTATACTATAACCTGCCCAGGAGTATGAAGTATAATTGTACCAAGTTTCGTTAAAATCCGTCGAGTAGTTTTTGTTTCTATAAGGAACATACACACAGACAGAAAGACAGACAGACAGACAAAAATTTTACTGATTGCATTTTTGGCATCAGTATCGATCACTTATCACCCCCTGATAATTAATTTATAAATATATTTCATGTACAGAATTGACCTCTCTACAGATTTATTATAAATATAGATAATAATCAAATACTTGTCGATAATCGAAAAGTTATGCGATGGTTTCGTAATTATACGTCGAAAGACTGTAGACTGTATTTCTGAAGTACCTATTGAGATGAAACGACAAGATTAGATTTTTTTTGAGTTTAAGAATCGATTTGCATATATAAGGTGCCCGGTATGAGAAAAATGTGAGGAGTAAAATCTATCGATGAATGACCTCGTTACGTTTTTGGTGCGCACCCTATGTCGCGCAACTTTCTAATTTGGTTGTGAGTGTAGGGTATAGGGACACGTGCATAGGGTATGTGCTCCAAAGCGACTATACCTATATGTTATTGGGTTTGTTTATTTCTATCAGTGTCGACATACTTATATTGAAATGAATGAAATGAAAAATCTTTATTGGCCATCTTGTATAGGGCTGCCATCTCTAAAATATGGTAACCAGGATAAGACGCGTGATAACCCCGGATTTTGGAGCCCAGGACCCGGACAGACCAATAAAAAAAATCACAAATCAAATGTTGATCTAGGCAAAAGAGCTAGCGGTCTACCTCATAATAAGAGATCTCTGCTGCCCATGGACACTTGCAGCACCAAGGGCCACTCATGCGTTGCCATAAATTTTTAAACCCGGACTACAAATAAAACCCCGCCCGGACGCTCCCCGGACGCCCCGTAAACTAGGACAAATCCGGGGAAACCCGGACGGATGGCAGCCCTAATCTTGTATATAAGAAACAGAGGCAAAAAAATCGTCTGGTTAGACTATCGAACTTAAGGAGTAAACTCTAGTCGTGCGTCGGAGCTGACACACACAATTTTTTTTTCTGAAAATATGCTGCGACACAGGATACTAAACTTGTGGGTTGGCGATACCCATGATATTATTCCTACGTTACCTACCCTATTCTATTTACTCATTGCAGTAACTAAATACAACGAATACTATTGTTTGGTTACAGCTATAATATCAGATCACTTAAACACCGGCGCTAAACTAAATCTCGAGTTCTTTTGATAAAAGAAAAACTTTACGATAAGGCTCGAGTCTTCACAGGAATAAGACAAAAAGCAGAGTAAGATAAATTATATTTCTAAAATCTCTTATATAATCCCACCAAAAATATTGTCATGCCAAATGTTGCCAAGACGGGATCATATGACTCACCCTGTCATATTACCCCACCCAATCCCGGGAAGTCCTGTCATTCTCAACTTGCCGGCCGAAAACTAATGCCCTACCAATTTAATCAGGACATCTCCAAAAAGCATGTGTTGTCTTACTGAGGTGATGGTCTTCTATACTTTGGAGGTTAAGTACTTCTTCAGAAGGGGTTCCACTTCGAGTGGAAAACCCGCTATGTTCTATTTCCTACCTATAAATGTGAATTTTACTGTGTCTCCCTCTTTATTTTTATTAAAATCTAGTGTCTTTTGTATTTTCTTATACGAGGCGCAGCAAATTACCTCACCCCACTTGACATTGAATGAAGGTAGAGTCCATTCACGAGATGATGCGGCACAAAGTATTTCACTCATTCACTCAGCCATCCGCATCTTGCCGGCCTGAACTCACCAGCAGAAACACAACACCAGAAGTTAGTGATGTTTTACTATGGTCTTCAGTAAGGTGGACAGTTCCCCAGACGGGAGGTCCAATTCCAGTGGAAAATCCGCTGTGGCCTACCTCTCTTAAAAGCGCAGTTATAGAGTTCACTTATGGTACTTCACGGCACCGAATCGTAAAAATCAAACCCTCTCGCTATAATGTGAGGGAACCCTCTTTCCTCTCGACCCATAAGTGGTACATTTTATGGTTATTGCTCCCCCATATGGTATGGTAGACACCTGCATATCACCATAGTCGAATTACTCTCAAATAAGGGTGTTTCATTCTAATGGGGATGACCCCCATTCTCACGACAAATTATGGGTGTAATTTGTTAATAGATTTGTAGCAAACAACTTATGTTGACTCTTATAATTTTTATTTGGCAAAGTAGCAAATTGTAGTGTTTACATAAAGTAGCATCCATATTTTAATTACCGTATCGTAGTTTTTGAGATTTTATAACAAGTCGGTGCTATTTTAGTTAATTAGGAATCGAATGATGCCTGCCGGACAAGGAAAATTTGTTAGAAAAGTCCTGATTGTCTGAAATTATAACTGGAACACATAAAAATTTATTTCTGTGAACTGGAACGTTAACCACACTTGTGATTATAGACTTTGAGGATAGCATTGGGTATTTCAATTCGTTGTGCCTCATGCCCCTTAACCAAACGAAATTACAATATGACAAATATTGAAATGATTCAGTTTGAAATACGTGACAAATTTATGTCTCGAAAATAACTTAAGCGGGTAAACGATATCTGATTAATAATATGTGTAGTTGACAGGTATTACCAATTTATAAATGATAGTACACATTCATGTATCATTGTGAAGTGTTCAACGATCGTTCTAAATATGTATGATGATCGATCGAATTATCGATCGATAAAATAAATAACAATTGATTTTGTGCCTAGTTGGAACAGAATAACAATCATCTTACAAGTTCCTGTTGCCTCTTATCCTATATAAGGCACCTAATGTTACTTTCATTCATTATTGAAGTGTAACGTCTTTCCTCTCACTTTCCTGCAATTTGTGGGAGTGATTTCGTGAAATGTTCAAATGGCTTATTCCTTTTGTAGTAGGTTTTATTTCTTTTTTTACTAATATAAGGTGAGGTTTCAAATGTTGCACATCATACGCGAATATTGTAAGGCTCGCTCGTTTTTTATTTTAATTTTATTATATTTCGGACAACTCAACAATTAAGTACCCGTATTGTCACAATTCAAGCAGAGATTTTACTATAAAGAAATTGAATAACGAATTTTTAATACATACCTATCTATGGAACTGTATAAACCATTGATCTAAATAAATAAATCAAATCGACTACTAGAAAGGCAAATGATTAAATAAACACATGTTAAGGCAGTTACTGATAATAATCTTTAAAATCGGTCCAGTATTTTTTGAGCTTATTCGTTACAAACATACAGATATTAGCTTCCTACCTGGGTGCAAAACATGATTTCTAAAACCATTTTACTAGCTCGCTGATCCCAAGCATGTGCTTACAGCTGGGCGAAATATTCCCTGTACCCTGCCATTCTTAAAATAAAATATTTACACAAATAAAATATGTTTTCCTCGCTTCACGTAACGACAATGGCAGGCGAAACCGCGTGCACTGACTATGGTTACCAACACCGTTCAATTCACGCGTGTGTGGATTATCGAGGTGTACTGTACGTCTGTTTGTTTGTCACACACCCTTCTGTTTACACAACACACATGTCGTTCGGCCAATTTTGTTGTATTGCTAAGATTTGAAATAGTACCTACCCCTATGTTATGTCATCGAAATTCATATTAATTCTTTGTTTGTAAGGTGACTAAAGACAGCTATCACAACAGATAGGACACATCGGTTCACGTGACATGCCACACAGTCGAGAGTTGATAAAAAAAGGAAAATGTGAAAATAACGGTTGTTCTTTGTATTATGTCTGTAAAATTTTCAAACCTTTACCGCTGAAATGATTTTGTATGGAGGTAAACGGGACTAAGGAAGTATTCATATGCTACTTTTACAGCGTCAAAAAGGGATGAAATAGGTGATAAAAATTCGTATAGTTAGTATTTGCCGGTATTGTATAAAATAAAATTTAATTTACTACTAATCTACTATATAAAAATAAGTCGGGTTTTCCTTCCTGACGCTATAACTCCAGAACGCACGAACCGATTTCCACGGTTTTGCATTCGTCGGAAAGGTCTCGGGCTCCGTGAGGTTTATAGCAAAGAAAATTTAGGAAAAATTAAAAAAAAAACTTCTTTTAATCACCAAACGAAATGTTACATAAAACGAAGCCATCTATCTGGTGGCGAAACGGAGTTCGCCGGGTTTGCTAGTTCCACATAAAAATGAAACAATTCCGTTAAAATAAAAATATCATTTAATGTTTATTTACATTAAAAATTCGCGTGCGTATAGTGTACAGCTCAAAATAAATATATCCCATATTTATAGAGCTGGTAATTTGCAGTAATAGTGTTAACAAGTGAATGCCACCCGCGGTGCTGAGGGGAGCGGAGTTGTGTCGTGCACTGCACATGCTAAAATGTTGTTTAAATATGAAGGGGAAGATTAAGCGACACTGTGACGAAATGGCACATTAAAATCACCACCATTTAATCTCCAATCGATAATTATAAATTGGGCTATTATAATAATAGCTTTTGGAATAGTCCAGGGGGTCTCAAATAGTGATATTTGTATGAAATAACCAAAATTGTGTTTCATTTATTGAATTATTCAGTTTGATAATTTCATCTTAGTGGTTATTTTATCTATTCTATACAACTCTGTCTAATTGAACATATGGAGGAGGATTTTAATATAAAAAACCATACTTACAACGACACAAAAGAAATATATGTATACATCTTTCTTAAATTACAACTTAGTCTGATTACACAAGATGCCTAATAAGCGGTTACTTCTCCAACGACGTATTATTAATAACATTCAATGTTACTGTTACTATTTGATGCCACCACACGACTTACCTCCAAGCTCCGGTATTCTGTGGTAGAACATGCCAGTCCTGGCGAGCCACTCGAGTTGCATGTGGTGGAGCACCCTGTCCCCCGGATGGTGGAAGGCGGACGGCATCGGAGCGCCCGGGGGCAGAGCGCCCGGCGACAGTTGAGGGTAGTTGAATAGCGCCGCGGACTGCGCGGCGACTAGAGCGGGGTTCTGAGGTAGGAGCCCTGGTTTGGGGATGATACCTAGGGAAACATGTTGATATTAATTTATATTGTCATGTAGCATCACGGCGTCATCATTTCACATTGCGATAAGGACATGTTATGAGAAATTGAGAAGAGGTGATGGCCATGTGATAAAGTGAGGAATGCGGGATATCCTGTACTTCCAGGGCCCAAAGGTTAAAACTTTACAGTTTTGTTGGTTGCAACTTCGCGTTTATTTTTCGTTGAAAAGGTTTCTGTTTATTATTAAACAAAGAGTCCACAGTTATATTTTTACTTTTCATGGTAAATAACACTATTTTGAAAATTTACATTGTTTTTGATGTGTAACATCTTTCTTCTCGCTTTCCTGCAATTTGTGGAAGTGATTTCGTGAAATGGGACGGAAGCGTGTAACAGGAAGTCGCGAAAGCGCGCGCTATTTGATTTGATTTTAGAACATAATGTTCAAATGGCTTATTCCTTTTGTAGTAGGTTTTATTTCTTTTTTTACTAATATAAGGTGAGGTTTCAAATGTTATACATCATACGCGACTACTGTAAGGCTCGCTCGTTTTTTTACAGTGTTTTAGTAGTCTACGAGACAAAAGTTCAGATTATTATACAGCCATCGAAAATAAAAAAATACCACAAAAATCCATTAGAAAACAACTTAAGGTTTTAATTGTGTATTACATGGTAAATAATGACTAGTATTTTTTTCTTTTTATTTAACTACTTTCTTTTTTATGGTTAGGATATTCATGTAACTTGAATACAGAACCGACTTTCTCAACCCCGAAACGCCGTAGTCTTGGTTTGCCTTACCATTAGAGTGCTTTTTAGAGCCCGGAGGCGTGGAGGGGGAGCAGCCCCTACCCGCTGGAAGAGGTGATGACCATGTGATAAAGTTAGTTATGTGAATGTGGCGTAAGCTGGTGGGAGTCTTCAGTCGTTTCATCCTACGAGCGGTTCGGCCTGAGGGGCGATTGCCAAGTACTCTTTTTGTGAGTCTAATAAGTAAGTAGACCATAAGTAAAACTAATGTATAGAAGTAGAATATTTAAAAATAAAATGATAGGACTTACCGGGTCTATAACTTTCGTATTCATCGTTCCCCCCTTCTACACCGGGAGAAATAGGAGGGCTATAGCTCTCTGATCTGTTCCCGTCGTCCGACCCTGGACTACCGCTCCTGGGAGAACTCTGTCCAGAGCGAGGACTGTCCGCTCTTTGCTCATAGCTCTGCCCTTGAAACTTATCTATAGTGTTCTGTTCGATCTGAGCATCATAGTTCTCGCTGTCAAACCTATTAATGTAATTCTTGTTGTGAATTAGCGCCAAATATTTTTGCTGAGTCATCCTATCTTGAAGCGTCGATTCCGGCTCGATGTGCCGGGATAAAAGGGCGTCTATGCAAAAGGATTTCTTTTTCTGGTTAATAATGGTTTTGTCCTCGTCCATCTGTTTGTAGTACTTCATGTTTTTGGGGCTGTTTGATGTGCTTCGGTCTTGGTCGTCGATGTCTAGAGGGCGCTCCTGGTCGCTGGAGTCGCGACGGTATACGTGCGTTAATATTTGTGATGACATTGCTGTCACTTGTCTTTTATGTCTGACCTGCAACAAGGAATATTCGTGAGATTCTACCGAATTAAATCACATCATCATGTCAATCATCAGGATCACAGTTTGGTAACGACGAAAAAATCGGAGGAGATTATTAATAAAAAATTTAATCTCTATATATTTTTTGACAACACAGATCCATAATTATGTTAGTAGAAACTGTAACTTATCTTAGTCCTAGTATATAGTATATACTAATATAGTAGTTATAAGCATAACTAGTATAATATACTAAATATTACATTTATTAGTACGCGCTACACAAGAGAGAATAATTAACTTCTATTTCATCAGTCTTCTTAGTATAATGTTGTTACTGCTTGGCACTGTACTTGTTGCTTTTTTCGAGCCTTATCAAACAATCCCAACATCATCCCCTGAAAATATTATCTATTGTATTGCACGAATTGATTGTATACAGAACCACAAACTTCTCGCGTAGATAGCCTGATAATACGCTTTAGAAAGGGTTATTTTGACTTGATCTGAATAACGAGCGCATCTACGGGCCAACTACGGGAATCCTAGGTCTCTATATCAAGGTCCTCCCTAAGGTTGTCGGCGGCGGGATTATTTTTCAACACACTTACTCAAAAAAGGCATATACGGAGGTTGTATACATTGTTCGAAAGTTCAAAATTACGAGCTATCCAACGGAGCGTACGGTAAATCATTTTACCGCATGATCCCATACATGGCGCCCCGTGCGTACTCTTTACGTTTTTTTAAAAATTTCGGTTGAATCTCCTAGGAAGCACTAATACGAAAAAAGTGTGCGTCTCGGGACGCACGACAGAAGTGATAACTTAAACTAATATAATCTAAGCGGCGCTGCAGTTAGAATGAGAGAGGAGGAGTATCTACATCAGAAATTTGTTAAACTAAATGAGCACAGGAGATTGGTAGGTGAAAAAGGGATTGGAGGGTAAATAAGGATTGAAGGGTGAAAAGGGGATTGAAGGGTGTAAAGGGGATTCAAGAATGAAAAGGGATTCGAGGGTGAAAAGGGGGATTGGAGGGTGAAAGGGATTCTAGGGTAAAATCTTTTCTATTCTATTTTCTCGCAAATGTGTTGAAAAACGTTGTATGACATTCGTGCTGTATTAGTGTTTACAAACTTGTGACTATGGTGAAAAAATGTGATAGTAAAACCGTAAGAAAAAATCCGTGGAAAAAAGTGCGTGGAATAAAACCGTTATATGAGACGTGCGCAGGCGCGACAGTCTTGGAGGGGATAGGGATTTTGCTGCGCGACCGAACTGAAAAAAATGTGATAGTAAAACCGTAAGAAAAAATCCGTGGAAAAAAGTGCGTGGAATAAAACCGTTAAATGAGACGTGCGCAGGCGCGACAGTCAGACAGATAGGGATTTTGCTGCGCGACCGAACTGAAAAAAATGTGGTAGTAAAACCGTAAGAAAATATCCGTGGAAAAAAGTGCGTGTAATAAAACCGGTAAATGAGACGTGCGCATGCGCGACAGTCTTGGAGGGGATAGGGATTTTGCTGCGCTACCGAACTGAAAAAAATGTCATAGTAAAACCGTAAGAAAAAATCCGTGAAAAAAAGTGCGTGGAATAAAACCAGTAAATGAGACGTGCGCAGGCGCGACAGTCGCATACACAAGCGATTTTGCAATTTGTGTCGATTCTACATTAGCCGAAGGAACTTCGTTCCTACCTGGTGTCCCACGACACCACATCATTTTTATACCTGATTTTTAAGTTATTGCATCGCGGGCTTTGAGCGCGGCGACCGAATCAACAAATTCCGCAACGAAAATAGACGTATGCGTGGACTAGCTGCTAACTGCTCATAACTGATTCTGATCTCTTTTAGACATAATGCTAAGTGAACAGCGTGCTTTTTGGCCGCGTCTATGAGTGAGTGCGAGCCCGCAACTAGTTGAACCTTAACGCATATGGTACGACTGTATAAAGCTCGCATGTAAGATTATAAAAATATATTAATCAAAATTAACTTATCATTTATTCAATAAAAGAAAAAAAATTATTTCTAATTCGGTAACTTAAATTAATATCAAAGAAAAAACTTGAATTAATTTCAAAGAAAAAAACAATACATTATAAATAAATAATCATAATTGCATAAGTTGATAAAAATGCTATGCAATAGCTTTACCGCGGCAGTCCCCGAGTGCCACAAGTATTTTTTTATGTTAAATGATTATTATGCAGAAATGAAACACTGAATTCATCCTTTAAGTATTATTTAATATTATTAACCTATTTTTAATTAACCTCGTCTTCTTTATATGCGTCACCTAATTCCGTCACTCTAAAAAGTGAAAAATAATATAACAAGCCTATCAAGTACTTTTTTTTGTTCTATTGCTACATACACAGTGAATAAATTGATTATTGCCAACTAAACTGATTGTATGATCAAAGTACCGAGGATATATTTTCTTGTCATTTCACACAACTGCTTAGTTCTTCTTTTTTGTATGCTGATAATTTTAATGTTTGTATTATTAAAACAGATATTCATAATTTATTGAGTAATTCTTTAAAGTTCATTACTGAGAATCTAATTTTAATCACTCCCAAAAGTATATTACTTCGTCAATCCAAAACATAACAGTTAATTAAATTGCTTAATACATCAATTATAAAGTTGAACGTGTTTTTGAAGTTTTATTGTCGGTACAAGGAATTGAATGAAAATTAAAAATCATGACGGAAATTATACCAAGAACACCTTGTCCTGAGAATGACTGCGCAGCACCATATCGTCAGCGTAGCTGATGTTATTTGTACTAACATACGGCAACTGACTCCCATACTGCTAAACTCTACAATGAGATCTTTGATCAAACAACTTCGAACATATGGACAAGCGGCCGCCCGCGACCTGGTGCGCGTTAATTTTAGTTTTGTGAAAATCTCACAATTTTCCAGGATAAAAAGTATCATATGCCTCCATTATGCATACCAAATTTCATCCGTTAAAGAATAACGTTAGCTCATAAGTTTACATCTGCTACTAATATTTTGAAGAAAGATTGCAAACTCATAAGAAATACTGGTATCGTCTTTTATTTTCTGTGACGCGTTGATGTCTTTTCTGACTATCCATCAAGTAATCATTGTATACGATTTGAACGAGTCATTGTTTTAGCATTATTGATTTTTAAAGTAACTGCAATTAATTTGTTACGGTACCATACTTGAAAAGGAAAAACCGGAACCCATATAACATCACCTTGTTGTCCATCTGTCTGTCTGTCAAGACCCTTTATCTCGGGACTAATTGAGTTATATCACATCATGTTAAAATTGAAACTCATGTTTTTATTCTCTTGGATTCCCTATATGTTAAAAAAAGATACGGACGTTCATGTTGCGTGCCTACTTTGTACGGAGCCCTCAGTAGGCAAGTCCGCCTCGGACTTGTCCGGTTTTTTACGAACGAAAAACCATTGTACTGATTACAAAATAAAAATCAGTATTTAACTAATTCATTCAATGAGATTTAATAAATGCTACGGCACGCGACTCGATTTATTAAAGATAACGTTTATTAATATACCGATAATAAGTTCTTTATTGGCGATTATTATCGAATATAAGTTGATTAAACACTCCACAGGGTTATCAATGACTTTATTGAAAACTTAATTTGCACCCGGATTAACTTTTTACAAACAAATGTTAACTGCCTACAATGTTTTGAAGAAAACGGTAAGGGTTACATGGTAAATAAACCAAATCAACGCGAAAACCTACCAAAACCTACTACTACTTTGCTTATTATACCAAAATCTAATTAAATACTGTTTGTGATTGAGGAGTTCCATTGTTTGTCTCCGAAAGCAGTCATCAGATCTTCAACAAATTATATGAGACCATCATATTATAAAATAGATTCTAACAAAAAAAATCATATTTTTAATTTTTGAGCAATGTAACTGCTCGATGTTTAAATCTAAAAAAAAAACATCGAAATCGGTCTACGAATCTCGGATTTCGAATTCACTTTATATATTACTAGATGACCTGGCTAACTTTGTACTGCCTTAAAAAGTACCAGAAATGATTTTTGTTGTTGTTGTTATGTTGTTGAAGAGAATATTGTGTTCCAAGTCATCAGCCAAACACCCCTAGTTTGTTTCTGTATCAGGTTATTGTAATAATTGTTAATAACACCATTATAAGTACATATTGTAAGACAAAATTCTTGTTTAGCAATAATATTAAAACTATTTAACAGATTGTCAAATAATAATTATTGTTGCATGGGGTTAATGCAATCATGAGAATAAATACTATATTCTATAGCAAAACAAAACAAAAGTCTGTCATCAGTAAATCATTACGATTTATATGTGAAGGAATACCTAACTGAAGTGTAATATTTTATGTATTGTTAAAGTTTCCATGAACAAAGAGTACAGCTTTCTTCATATACAGAGCTAGATAGAGCAATCCAAATTAACCACGCAAAGATGACGGCTCTTGTTACGCGCAATATGTGCGTGACTCTAATGTCAGATTGTTTTAAAGCAGTCTACGTGTGCGTATGTAGCGACGAGCTTATCTACCATATGTAGTAGATATTTTTGGAACGCTTCTACGCTACGAGTGTATATAATCAAAAGAGTATAAAAAGCTGATGTTTTCATATGATTATGCATTGAAACATATTATTTTAATAAAATAAACTTACTTCCAACTTACTTCCATGCATTAGACATGCACAATGACTTTCAGAGAAGACCTTTAAATCAATCAAAGTTCAAAGTCATCAAAGTGTTTGATAATTATAATATCCATTCATATTATAATCAATATAAGTGTGAAACAAAATAGGTATATCTATAAAACACAATCCAAAATTGTCACAAATAATAACTGAAAATCACTTCATTTGGCTATTCGTGTTTGCTATTTGTAAACTTGACAACATTATGTCCTTATCATGACTTATAAGAACTAGTGGCCCGCCCACGCTTCGCTTCGGTGAAGAGCTGTACTGTAGTCTATAGTTTTTGTTCTCAGGTTTGTATTATAACTTTCTTCGTATAATTATAAACCTTTCGTGAAAATAAGATATAATTACTCATATCATAAAACTGGAGAGTTTGTTTGTTTTTTTGGTTGAACGCGCTAATCTCAGAAAATACTGGTCTGATTTGAAAAAATATTGTTGTGTTAGATAGTACATTAATACATTTATTGATGAAGGCTTAAGGCTATATAACATCACGCTGCGGCCAGTAGTAATGATGATGTATATGTACATGTATTACGTACTAAATCTGCCGTTTATAATAGAATTCACGTATGAGCTTCAATTGAATTTTGTTATATAAAGGCTTCAGTTCCAATAAAAGAGTAGGTATAATTTCAGACATTGAATAAAAAAAATAACTTAAAAGTTGGATTTAAACCACGTTCTACAATTATATTTGCACCAAATGATGTCATTCGGAAATGAAATATTTTTCAAAATGTTATTCTACCACTTTGTTGGCGTGCCTTGAATACATACCTCTACAAAATAACAGCTCCCTAGTGCGAATAGTCTCCAAGGAAAACCTCAGACGCATAGACAGATATACTGACAGATGAACATGACGAAACTATAAGGGTTCCTTGACAGGACTACGGAAATCTCAAAAAGCTTGTAAAACTAATGTTTATGATAGAAAATTGTACATTTAAAGTATTTACCTATTGGTAGGACTGTTTTAATAGTAACTATGTGGTTTGTTATACATATTTTTCAGCTAGTACTAGTATTTAGGTACAACCGACGAAAAAAAAACGAGGACGTTATCAACACGACACGTATTTTATTACATACATATTTTTATAGAGATGTCTGATTTTGATAATTTTTTGGAAATGGTATACTCCGAAGTTGGTCCCATATAAATTTGAAAAAAATCCTTTTAGCGTAGCTGCTCTACATGTAAATTGAGGGTGATTTATTTTTCATCGGCTTCTACCCCATCGTGTGGGGTATCGTTAAATAAATAAGTTAGTTTAAGAGTAATAGTCGTTCAACTTAGGTATTAGAAAATTTCTTACCTAATAAAAAATTTCTTAGAAGAATACATTAAAAGTGACTTATATGAAGTAATTGCTTACACAAATTGAGTAGAATTTTGTATAGAAAAACAAAATTAATAATTAATATAGAAAATACAATAGAATATCTACGGAATTATAAACTGCGCGTGGCACAGAACTGATTTAGCCGTTTTTATTGGATATGGTAAATCTTAAAGTTGGTCCTAGATAAATTATGAAACAAAAATCGTACTCTAAGGGTGGGGAAATAGGGGTGATTGTTCACTCATAGATTTTGATGCTGAGTTCTATAATACAATAATTGAAGTCACAGAAAATAATTAAATAATGACTTTTAGCAAATAAATTAAACCGCCGAAAGACTGAAAAGCAAAAAATAATAAAAAGGCACCCTTTCTCTTAGGTAATAAAAATGGTTCCCAGTTGGGGTACTGGTTTTCTTTCTTCATTTATATGCTTATTTAAAAAACCAAAAAAATAATAATTTTATGGTTGACATGATATTTATAGTGCATAGTGGCCCGCCTCGCTACGCTTCGGTGTAGAGCTGTAGTGTAGGTAGACTTTAGTTTTTTTGTTCTCAGGCTTGTATTATACACAATTAATTTCTTTTTATAATTATAATTTTTCCACGAAAATTTACTTAACTGATAGTGAAAAATTTTGTTGCGTACCAACTTTAGGATCCGTTGTACCGAATGCACCATTTTTTGGTTGAATGCGCAAATCTCAGAAACAAATGATCCGATTTGAAAAAATCTTTTTGTGTTACAAAGTACATTTATTGAGAAAGGGTTAAGGCTATATAACATCACGCTACAACCAATAGGAGCGGATCATCGATGTAAAATGTTAGAAAAACGGGTAAAAATATTCCATTTGTGAGATTCCATTGCGTGCGCTGCGTAAATGATTAAAATTACACAAAGTTCAAGTATGGCGGAAGTGTTCCCTTTTAAAAGTTCTATAAAAAAGTTCGCGACAGCATATGCCCATCTTGGCTAACTATAACCATTTTCCTCAAATTAACGCGGGTGAAACCGCAGGGGACCTCTAGTTGTGACATAACTGTAATAGTTAGACATGGTGGTGCGGACTTTTTTGTAGATGATATTGATGTCCTCTATAAAAGTTTAGTACATCACTTTGTTCTACTGTCAACGACTTACGCAGCATAGGCGATATAAGGTTAGTTTTTGGTATTCTTTACACACCCTGGGTTACGTTATCGAAGTTTTCATACGGAACCTTAACTTTTTTGAAAAATCTGTAAGGCCTATGTTCATCAAGTGAAAGATTTTTTTGCCCGACTGCGCAATGCAAGAGTCCTCGGTCGAGAGAATCGGTCCTGTAGCTTCGGAGCCTGTTCAATACAAACAAACAAACAATCAAATCTTTCCTCTATATAATATTAGTATACATTGGATATCTAGAAGATCGCAATCATCTAAGAACATCATCCTTTCGTACTATCCTATCCTAATTTCTACAGATATTATAAACGCGAAAGTTTGTATGGATGTATTAAGTGTGCTTGTTGCTCATTCACTTCAAAGCAAGCTCAACAAAGGATTTTGACTACATATATTTTTTATAGTTTACAACATAATTGACAAATATGATAATAATTTACCGGAATTATTTTAAGGTTCCCGTGGGATTCTCACAAAACTTGCTATAACGCGAACAAAGTTGCGGGAGGAAGCTAGTGTACCTAAAATATAAATGAAACATGCTTAGACGAGCTCAAAATGCGTCTTTTTTTAACTTTTTTGAAGTTTCGCATCCTTTTTAGAATGCGTCATCAGAATTATGAATTTATGATGAAAAAAACATAATTCTGAGAATATAAAGAAATAAAAAGAAGCATTTTGAAACCTCTTCAGCGTGTTTCATTTAAGGAGTAGTGTGCGTGAAGACTTAAGAAAAGTATAATATAAAATATACCTAGCCCTGTATTATTTTGGTACTTTGATTAATATTTATGTATCTACTCAATGTGTTATGGTTCAGTTGAAATTGTTAATAAATTATTATTTTTTTGGGTTAAATAAGTGTACTTACTTATATAAAGTTGGATTAAATCTTTAACCGGATTCGTCAAAACACGGAAAAGGGGAAATTTGTCCTAAACTGTTTAAAATAAAAACAAGTAAATGGCTAATTTGACAAAAAATCACAAGTAGCAGCTTACCTCACCATAAAATAAAGAACAAAAAAAAGCTAAACACAATTTCAAGAACACTTCACCAAAACGCACTCACGAACCGATGTAATTCAAATTTTCAAAATTGTACCGCGGGCCCCGTTTGGATACTACGCCCGCGAAGTAGTTACTAACAACTGAATTATTTTATTAACGCGCGGAGCACCTATTATCATCCCATATTGTGCCGTCATACCGTGTGTGGATACAAACGGCTGGGCGGTACTAAGCGACCAATATGCATTGAACTGCCGGAACGAAAACCACGCTCCGGGGCGGAGGTCCATACTCTTTGGCCTTACTACACCACGCCCCACCCCATTTTCTGTTGTCTCGCTTGTCTTTTCATTGTCCCTTTCTCGCTCAAAGCGATTTAAACGCATGAATTGTCTTTTCTCTCACCGACCGTCTAGTACCAAACCACGATACTGGATTTGGTTGTTTGCGAACGAGCTCCGTTTGCTATTTGGTAGATTTCGTTTTTACAAAGGTTTTATTTTTATTTCAACACGGCAAATGTTGAAAATGATTAGGCAGACTCATTTTGCGGTTATTTTATGTTCTTAGTGAAAACAAAGGTTTTAGTAATTTGTTCATTTAAATTTCGTTACATTATGTCTTTACTTAATGCGGACTTTTGATTTTTTTATGTATTGTTGGTCTACGTTTTTAGGAGCTATCAAATATTAAAAAAAAACTGCTAATCAATCTTACATCTGATTTGTTATGTACAGAAACTAAATACTCAATGTTTTGGAAAAGAAACGCATTTTACAATCACTTTTAATTGTTTTATCATAGTTCTACAACTTAATATGAGTACTTTATATACTTACTAGTGGCCCGCCCTCGCTTCGCTTCGGTGTAGAGCTGTAGTGTAAACTATAGTTTTTGTTCTCAGGCTTGTGCTATAAACAATGACTTTATTTATGTAATTACACGTGTTATTGTGAGTCAACCATAAAAGATAGACATATGCTGTTGCGGGATATTTTTTAGACAATTTTATGTAGAATATTTTTGTCATACATGATTTCTATGTAACTTTAACCATTAAGGCTGCGCACGTGACGGAAGCTTAAAAAATGGAGTAACTTCTCCCGTTTTCCCAACATTTCCCTTCACTACTCTGCTGCTATTGATTGTAGCGTGATGAAAAGTATACTATAACCTGCCCAGGAGTATGAAAAATAATTGTACCAAGTTTCGTTAAAATCCGTCGAGTAGTTTTTGTTTCTATAAGGAACATACACACAGACAGACAGACAGACAGACAAAAATTTTACTGATTGCATTTTTGGCATCAGTATTTATAAACGGACAAACTAAAACGTGATTTTATTTACTGAGCTTGATCATAATTCGGAAACAATAGTTCGAAATCTTACTTAGGAGTACATACATGGCTTTACACTTTTCTCTTAATTTATGGTGCAATATCAATGATACGACTTCACAAGTTGAACACATATAGATGTAACCTACATTACACCTACGTGTACTACCTATGTGTATTAAAGGACGTCTGTGATTTCGTCTGAAATGAAATGAAAATAATATTTATTCAAGTTGAATTATTAAAAGCTCTTTGGAATCATCCTTATAATTAGTGTTCCGAACTTCAATATGCAATAAAGGAACCTTTTAGGATCATTAGATTGTCTTCCTGTCTGTGGCAGGCGATTTGCTCGGAATCTACTTCACCGATCAATTCGAAATTTGGTACATAGATACATGTCTGTGACCCAAATACGGACGAATAAAGTAAATAAATAAAGTCCGAAAATGGGGTTCTTTTTGGGTTAAATTGAAAATTATAATTTTAAATTTGACTAACTATACTTTGCTTTATATCAAATGAAAGGGCTCAATGTTTAAGCATAAAATATTTTTTAACAAATGTAAATTTAAACAGTTTAAACATTATTTAAGAAAATAGATGATAATTGACCTTTGTTTTCTCCAAAACCACTGCGTCTAAAAATTTGAAAAAAGAATGAGTGAGTCTTTGCGTGTGACAGGAAAAGTTAGAAGAAGTTTAAAGTAATTAAAATAAAATAAATATGTTAATAATGATATTTGATCTGTGTACGATATGGTTTCCATTCATCCCCTTTTTGATCCTCTGCTAGTTTTGTTTTTGCGTCAAACCTACACCTATGGGAATAAAGGGAATCTCAGAGAAATCTTTATGTTTCCGTTTATTTCCAAAATAAAATTCATTAAAATCAAGTTATTTGAAAGCGTAACAGACAAACAAACAGAGCAACTTTCATACTAAAAACATTAGGTAATATTTGTTATTTACAATTATCAAGTTTTCTACGTACCTACAACAACTCCTTAGCGATATTTGAAATGTACTTACTTAATAACTAGCTTCTGCCCACGGCTTCGCTCGCGTAAGATTTCATTGTGAGTGAATGAATGAATGTTAAAAAGGTTGATTTTGGATAACTTTGAGGTATTTAGTTAAAGGATTAACTAAAAATAGGCGATTGTTACCGATTCCAACAATCGAATGGTTTGGTAGTATTTATTAATTTTGCAATTAGTGGCGCTATAAGACATTTTATTTGTGATATTTAGTGACAATCTACACAAATTGAGACAAGATAAAATATGAAACATCTGTTTCTAACGCATTAGTCCATCGCACAAGGAAATCAAGCTATATGTCATCACTTGCTTTTGTATCACGGTTTCTATCCTTTAGTTATTTTTCTAAGTTTTGTATAGTCGAATATATAAACCAGTAGTAATAAAATTCTAATCGAAAGGTATGAGACGACGCAATACATTCTTATTAGTTTCTCGTTTTTATTCTAATTCGAATGATTTGTAAGGTTATTCTAATAATTCGAATGACTTCTACAATCGAATAGTTCCAATAATATCATTTACAATCGCCCATCGATAGGATTAACCATGCGAACCTATATGTGTGCCAAATTTCAGCGGTGATCCATTCAGTGGTTTGAGCTATACGATGATAAATCAGGCAGTCAGTAACGGTTTCATTTTACCCTTTTATATCCTACACATTTGAAGGAAAAACGATAATAGTTATTTAAGACAACTATTATTTATATATGCGCAGGTTTTTAATATCTGTTTCGTTTCCCATCAATTTTGGGAAATCAATGGGGTAATGTCTACAAATAGTCTACTTTGGACACCAAGACCTAGGGAGCAAAAACTAGCAGGATATCACTGGTAGTATTGGTTACTATAATTTATTAAAATGCATCAGCAGGGAGTCCTGCTGTTATCTGTTAGTAGCAACCTCTCGTCTTAAACGCATATTCCCAATTTTGTTCCGCCGTGGGTTAAATTATTATTTCCGAACGCAATCTTCGAACTTTGTCTTGGCATAATATTACTGCTATAATTGGGTGAAATACGACTTGTTTTATGTGATGTTGGTAAGTATCAAAAAAATATACAGATAAAAAACAAAATCGTACGTCTCTACTTTAAAATCTATAAAAGAGAAATAAATTTTGACAATACTTGTTCTTTGTATGGGGTATGGTTAACCAATACAGAAATAAGTTAAAGTTAGTGATTCCTGACAGTAGAAAAAAAACCGGCCAAGTGCGAGTCGGACTCGCGCACCGAGGGTTCCGTACAAACCTGCAAGGTTTACAAAGTTCGTTCATTACGACAATCGAGTCATAACTATGGTATTTTTATTGCAAAATGAAATTCATAACATTACAATGGGGAAAGATGGAGGAGCATAAATTTAAGACAAATTGCTGTTTCTTTTGATTGCGTTGACATAGAAGTTTGATTTTGTTACAGCTTAAAGGTATTATAGACCTGAGTATTTCGTATGAATTTCAATTTAATACCTCTACGCGTTTATGAGGAAATGGGTAGTAAGGTTAAAATTATTAAAAAAATATATATTATGTGATGTAACTAAAAATTTATGGTTTTCGTAATTTTTCCTTTATCTATGCTATAAGACGTTGCTTGGTACCAAATTTCAAGATTCTGAGTTCACGGGAAGCACCCTGTAGGTTTTGATTCCCTTGCAAGTGTCGAAAATTTGCGGCATAAACGGCTGTATCTTTTGATTGCGTTGGCTTAGAAGTTTGATTTTTTCACAGCTTCAAGGGACAGTAGACCTGAGTAATTGATATAAATTTCAGCTTCATACCTCCACGCGTTCCTGAGAAAAAGGGTCTTGACAGACGGACGGACGGACAGACGGACAACAAAGTGATCCTATAAGGGTTCCGTTTTTCCTTTTGAGGTACGGAACCCTAAAAACTTCCCGTTTACCAGGCTCGATTACAACCGTTTCTTTTGTTAAAAAATAATAAATTTACAAAACGCTTAAAATTTCAGCAACTTTTTTTTAAGTATCAATTGAACTTAGTTCTAACGCAGGCCGTTAAAACGGGATGGCATTACATTACTTTTTGGCTACTGCTATTGTTTCAAGAGGGGCGGGAAGAAAACTTTTTTGGCCAATCGCCGGTCGCGGGCGACTGGGACAGCGCCAACTTTTCCTCAGGCGTAGAGCGAGACAGCACACCTTGACATATTTATGTGTGAGATGAATAAGTTCTGATATCTTTGGAGGCGAGTAAATTGAGGTTGCTTGATGCTTTAGACAGGTTCTCAGAGTTACAATCGGCAGCATATTATGTGCAGCACTTTGGAACTTTTATCACAAAATGATTGTGGAGATCTTGCTCTGTGTTAAGAACCAATATTATTAAAACTCAATTGAATGATGGACTATTATTACGTAGCAGAATCGAGGTCAGAATTTGGGTTAAGGTTATTTATTTATTTGGAGATGTTTGTCCACCTCTAAAGAAGGTGCAAAAGATTATTGCAATTAATTTCACACATTATTCAACATGAATTCCATAATCCTATTATTATATGAAAACGAACTTTTCACTCAAAGACAGTTTTCACAAATAATATAAAATATTGGTTGGATATTTATAAATATTATGGCGCTTCGCAATCCACTTATTTTCTTCTTATTTATCCAGCATGAAAGACTAACACACCCTTATTAATAAACGAAGACTACACTTGGATTAGTTACTCCATGTTTTGTCTCGGCATATTGATTGAAAAATGGCATTTAAATGGCAT